GACTGTCCTGCTCAAAGCGGGACGAATGGTCACATTAAGTACGCTGTAACAAGCTGGTTTACTAATAAGTGAATTACTTTTTATTGTTATCTTTATTTCTAAGTGCAGTAAAGTAAAGTATAAAGAGATACTATTCCGCCTTTTCGCAGTTGGACCTAAAAAGGGAGGCAATAAATATGGATAAAAAATTATCAATTATGAAAATTGGACATAGTTATGAACTTTAACGGCAGAATCTACTAGAATATCGTCTAAATCGGTACACAAATGACGGAGTAAAAAAATACAGTCGAATTAAGCACCTCCTTCTTTTTTGAAGTCAAATAAAATAATACGAAACTTTTTAACCCAGTTTCTATGTCAATATAAGTAGACAACATAACCCGCTAAGGGTGTTCATTTAGTGCGAACCTTGACTTAATTCTAAACCTAATGATTGGATTACGTACATTGTAAATATAGAAAGTTCCTATCCAGCGGCTGAACTGAAATAGAAGCTTGATGATCACAATTGTATAGATAAGTTGTTTGCATTGGCACGGCGTGTTTACACCATCCACATGTAACAAAATGTTCTACTAGTTTATGTTCTTTAATTGGTATAAAGGAACTGTGCCATGACGTTACTTTGCAATTTTTTTTAAAATAACCTACTGTCTCACTGCTTCGGAGAGAACTTACCGAATTTTGTTATTTAATAGGTGCTGCAAATAAGACTTTACATCTCAAAAATTGTATGTACTTTGTTTCTCGTACTTAAAATCCATAGATAGAAACAAATAATAATAAAAACAAGCCAAACTAGTATTATAAATACAAAAGTATTTCTGTTTTTTACGTTGTTACGCCCAAACCGCTGTACCCGTGAACGTTGATGTAGAGACAGATGGGACCTAGGAGAAAAATATAGGCTATTTTTTGTCACAAAAATAAATCTTGAAGGTGGTGAAATAGGGGATGAAAGTTTTTATGGAAAGCCAATAAAACTATGAAAATTAATATAGTAAGTAAGCTACTAGAATACTATACTATACTAGGTAGTACGCCTGGTGGTAAGCTACACGCCAGTCCATAATAGTTACAGTGCCATTCAGAGCTTTAAATCGCAAAGATGTGAAGGGCACTTCCACTTGACAAGTCCCATGTGCCTGTAATTTCAACAGCACCCTCAACCTTCAAAACCGGAACAATGTAATGCTCACATTACTGCTTGGCGGTAGAAATACGTAAGGTGGCAGAAACTACCCTGGACGACCTCTGTCACGAGGAGCTCTACTGCTCCTAATATTATTCTGCGTAGATAAAATTAAGAATGAAGCTGTACAGGGTAATCTTTAAAGTACTAACAACCTTGCAGGACTATATTACCACGCATAAACAATAACTTTCGTTCCGTGACTTTTAACGATTCATTAAATGTTACTTTCATATGAAAATAAAAATATTTAAATAGATCGCTCTAAACGGTGATGGCTTTATTTGGTCTGTGGTGATAGCTCTGTGTGATAACAAAAGGAAGCGCTAGCGTAAATACCAATTCGAACTGGGGTTGTTGTTGAAACACATGCTGATTTTATGTATTTAAAAAAAAACGCGAAAAATTTACATCCTTACTGCATCTATCTACATAAAAAGCTTTCTATTTTTTTGATATTATAATTGTTAACGCGTACACGGTGCTGACATCTACAGGAAAGTATTCTCAACATAGATGAATGTGCGGCGCAATAATTTAATGTTTTTTTTGTAACGATTTTGAATTTCGAAATGTATCGAGTCACTCACACGGCAGACTCCTAATGTAACAGACGTTTTTTTTACAAAATATGAATATTTATACAAAAGGAAATAAAGCCATTCATTTCATTTTAACTATAGGCAGGAAACGAGAAGAGAAAGGAGAAGATAGAGGCTGACCACAGCGACACATACACACTCTAACAATAATAAAATATTATTTCAATGATTTTGTGACATTTATTGACAAGTCAACCGTGACCATGGGACCCGTAAAGGGCCCAAAACGTCGGTTTGTTTGAAAAAACAAATATACGCGATTTAAATCCGGAAAAATAGTTTAATTTCCTATTTATTAACAAATCAGTCAATCTGCCTAGCTTAATCGTTGTGAATTTTATCGAAGTTATATTTTAAAAACACCATCTGAGCTGCTTCTTCGGCTTACAATCTGTTTCTAGAATTTTTGTAAATTATTCCTGCCTGCCTTTTAGGTCATGTCACGACAGTGAATATCAGCATCGATGAATGCGGATGCGGATATTTTAATTTATGCAGATTAACCGCGGCTTATGTTCAGCAGTGGACGTCTTCCGTCTGATATGCTGATATTCGCAACAACTTTATTTTCTTTAACCTAAAAAACTAATCTAACCTAAACAAAATCCAATGTATCGTTAATAAATTATACAACATTGCGTCTCTGGACTGCAATGGGACACTTGCTGAACCAACCACGACCCAGAAAAAAAATCTAAAAAGTGTCAGATAGTACAACAAAAACTTAAAAGTTTATTTTTGGTGAATTTAATATGTTTTGTTAAAAAGTCATGGAACATAACTTGTTGTTTATGATGTTTTAAGAATATTGCCCTAGTATTTATATATTATTTATGCCTGGTATTGTTTGTATTTTTCAAATGAAATGTCTAAAGCTCTATTTTTTACCGACTTCAAAAATAAAGGAGGAGGTTCTCAATTCGACAGTATGTTTTTTTTGTATGTAGGTATGTTACGCGAATGTAAATGAATTCACTCACTGGCATTCCACCATGAGTATATAATTGAGACTCAACTGCTATTGCAACTAGATTTTAGCAGAATAACAACTATTTTTAACCGACTTCAAAAAAGGAGGAGGTTCCAATTCGACTGCATGTTTTTTTTTAATGTATGTTACGCGATAACTCCGTATTATTGTGAACCGATTTTGATCATTGTTTTTGGTTGGAAAGAGTCCCATTTAAATTTGAAGAATATATTCCACCTCAATGGTGGAATATTTTACTAAACTAGGGGTTGAATGACTTTTGAGGTCGGTTTTTTAGTACTCTGTATTGAGATTATGTGTTATTTCACACGAAAACAAAATACGGAAATCAAATGAGACGGCTTCATTTAATTGATTTCACATTGTTACATTCGTGTATTCGAAATCATTATAATCACTTTCTCAATAAGTACACCTTTTTTTTAAATTTGTTTATATCGGCGAACGATAATTAAATGTATAAACATCTGACGATTTCAATGATTTCTGCAAACATCTGTATCTGATTTCCATGTTTACATCTTTTATTGGATGGCTGTGATGCTCTTAAAATTATTACCTACGAGTTTTTTTACAATTGCTATCGTTTACTTCTGATGTTTGTCATGGGGATGACAGCAGATCCGATGTTCAGGAACGGGCGAATCTCACCAAAAACCACTTTTACTAAACATTTTGACTGCCTCCAACCAAACATTCCATGCAAACCTTGTTTCTTCCGCTACAAACTTGTCCCTATATTATACACATGAATGATTATTCGGCTTAGAAAGGGTCATCAAAACAACAAAAAAAAGGGTCATGTTTGTTACTTTGTTTTTCTAACTATCATCAAAGTTTGAGATAACTCCATTATATTCAATCTATTTTATTTTTTTTAATTAAATGGACTTGCTCTTAACCACTACCTAGCTCAGGAGCAAAGGTAGGATCTACGATGGAATGAGCTCGCCCAGAAGATGCCTATTCAATCACACCTTAAAGATACACGGGTTGTATGAGTTCAGAAACATAGGCGCAGGCAGGGAACTCCATTCCTGGGCTGTGCGCATAATAAAAGATGATGAAAAGCATAGCAGGCCTCGAGGGAATATCGACCAAGTAAGGATGATATCCCAAATGGGGGCGGCGGGATGAGCTGATGGAGCTCATGGGCACACTCGCCGAAATATATTATATGTAGTATAGAAAACCGACAGACAGAGTTGCCCAACTTGGCGCCGCGCCGGTGGGCTAAAATATGAAGTTTAGTTTCGAGCTCATCGTCGCCAATAAGACTCCTGGCTCAGCGCTCAATTGAATCAAGAGCCTCAAGTTGATACTTCGTTGAGCCATCCCACAGGTGACTACATTCATAGATATAGAAAAAAAGGGGAGACATGTAATGACGCTATGTAAGATCGGGTACCGATGTCTCCACTTTTTACCTTGTGTGCAATTCAAACTACACTCTATTATCCACTACCATAACTTAAAGATTTTGATTGGGTAGGGCTTAAAACGTGAAAACAACGTAACACAATTTTAAAATTTAACAAAATTAAACTTACAGTCCCTTGAGTAAGAGTTATATTACAATATTTCAGTATTTTTTATCCTGGTTCAGCCATTCACCATCAGGTGAGGTTTTAGTAAAAATGCTACTAGTATATAATAGCTAACTATTACACGTTAGATGTCGCTGAAAATCATTTTTCGTTACACTAAGAACTCACGGAGCGGTTTTCACTCGCGATCGCGGCATCTGTAGAATGTAAAATTAGTAGCACATTTCACGGCGCGTTTTACGCCTGTAGTGGTGACGGTTGCTCGCGGTTGCCGCTAGAACTAATGCTAGGAGAACCGCGCAGGACGCGATCACCTGCGCGCTTGGCGGCCGTCGTCGCCCGCACACTTTGGCGGTCGGTTCAGGCGCAATGTGGTACAGGCGCACGCGGGGTGAGTTCTCTTTTAACCGCGCGACTTGCGATTAACTCCCATTGGAAAACCCTAAAAATTAAAAATACGCTACGGTTAATCTACTAGTATAATGGATTTTAAATATCTAAATTATCAAAAGCAATAATACACATACATTTTTCTTCGAACAACAGCAACATACAAATTGACATGAAATTGAAACGGTTGTCCGAAACATGAGTTGTGTTAAAGTTCCTCAAAATAAAATGTTTAGTAATAACATTATTAATTTATTTATCTTTCTTGTTCACAGCATCAATTTCCAGCAATGCACGATCTAAAGCTCGGCGGTATACTGTACCTGATCGGCGTATTCTTCTTCAAATCGGACGGTAGGATCCCTTTTGCCCACGCCATCTGGCACATATTCGTGGCGTTAGCAGCCACTGTGCATTACCTCGCAATCCTGAGACATCTGTTCCCCGATCTCAAATCTCAATGAAGACTGCCCTATAACTATTGAATCTCGAGAGCTCTGTCTATAGATATTTTTGTACCTGTAATACGCTGTGTAATGGACAAGTCGAAATTTGTGACTTTTTGATAACAAACCTTCTATTATACATACATGTATGTCGAAAGTGTGAACAACTTTACTCGACTCCAAAGTTTATTCTCGAAATGACACAAATCTAGACCCGTTTTTATGCGTATTCTCTGGCTAACGTTACCGTAGTACATGTAACCATTTCTTTTATTGTATTATACACTACAGTAAATCGTATAATCTTACGTAGTTAAGGTAGAAGTGAAATGATAGCAATGTGAAAGCCAAAGTATAATGTTAGTTCCTATATGTGAGATGTACCCTTTTAAGTAGATACTAAATATGGATTTGTATTTAGCCGGATAATACGCAAATGTCGGCGGAAACACAGAAGTAGGTCGGCCATCTCAACAATTGTCAATCCGGTTGCGATGGTAACATATAGGTGTGACCTTAAGAGGACGGTTTAGCTAAAGAGCTTTATATAAACGTATTTTAATCCTATTTTGGATAATGACTATTCAATATCAGTGAAATTTTATAGAATATTCAATTGCCCCCTAAATTATAAATGGTTTTAAAATGGCACAGGCTTATAAAGTCCCTAATTTATGGAATTTTTTCAAGAAATTTCATTTTGAATTTCTTATAGACTCTGAAAAACCAAGACCATTTTAAGGTCGATGAGAAGAAGAAATTATTATTATTATGCACATAACTACCATACTTCTTGAATGAACATAAAGCTACAAATTATAGCGAGAAAATGGTTCAAAACCTTACTTGTCTCACCCATTCACCAGAGCTCTCTTCACGGCCGTGCGATTTGGCAAAGCAGTCCTCTTAAGACCCTAACGCGTTACGCAGACGACGTTCCTTCTTGGGCGTGAAGCAAATTTTACTTACTGGATACCGGCTGTATTCTATTATTATATGGCTAAAAACTCTGCCTACTAATAAGAAACTTGTCTGCGCTCCGCATTAGCGATACTCGTTTAAAGCGCGGTTTCCATGACCATCTCATTCTGCGGTCCACGTTACCATAACTAGCGTTACTGGTACCTTAAACAAGTGAACGCATCTGTGTAGCAACATCTTCTAAGGAAACTCGTGGGCAACACTGTGATATTTAGATATTGTTCAGCAGGTGGTGATCCCTACGACATCTGTACTTTGTAAGAAGAGCCACCCTGTAGTCGCTCCAGCAGTTTATTCTAAAACCGATAAATTATTCCCTGTGCTTTCAAGAATTTCTGTGTTAATTGCTCTGTATCAAAATTTGGTCTGATATTGCCGTGGCTTTACGATTAATGCCACGATCGATTCACATTTCCAATTCGATAATTGTCGAAACGAGTCTTAACACTCGGACCCAGACTCGTTTAAATTATAGTGAGCATTTTGTAATCACTCTAGGTAGCCTATCTATGTGGGTAGCCTGTCTCGATCGATACCTAACTTATGAACATAGTACCTAATGGTATTTTTTATTCCCGTTCATTCAAATTTGTTATAAGACACTTGAGAAAGAAAATTGAAGCGTTCCGTACGTCAGAATAGACAGAGACTGCGAAAATTGAGGTAAATTTGGCGATTCACTTTGGTATGTCATATCCTCGCGCCATTTTAAGAGGTAAAGTAATCAAGCGAATTATGTTAATTCGTCATCCACGTCCTACACACGTCTTTTTCAACAATCTCTAAACATCAAAAGAACGGGAATAAGGAAACAACCAATGATATAGAAACAACGGTAACGTGGACCGCATGCGGCCAAACCTACAAAGTTCGTGTGTCTGTACATATTATTATGTAAAATATTGTTGAATCGTATGTACCTACTATTGTTGTAGTTAGTGTTTGTAGAATCTCAAAATCTCGAGACCAATCCAACCTTTTTTTAGAGAATTTAACTTATACGTATTAGGGTTTTTAGATACATTTATAAACTATACTTATTATACGAATCCAGTTTTTTCAGCGAAATCTTTTATACACCTCAATGTGAATTTTCCGTAGATTAGCTCGTTATACATTTTAGCGTAGCTCTGTGTACCACCTTGTAAGCTAACTAGGGTTTTAAACGTAAAGTTTTAAAATATATTTCTTTATGTATATCTGTCAGTGGCGATGGGTGAATTTTTAAAAAAGGTACGCAGCACATGCACGACATTTTCCATTCAATGGATATTGAATTATAGAATAAATTTCTTTAGCAAGCCAATGGCAATCTTGTTATATGTACCCTTCGCCACTGATACCTATGAGTTAGATCGATAGCGATTTACAATAGATTCATAATATATTAAAATTTTTAGATTTGTTAAGACTTGCTCAACTTATTAGTGTCACTTTAGGTGTTTGCTGTACTTCCAGAAGTAATCATTTGTTATTGTTTGTTATTCATCTGAATTTGTCAGAGTTTATTATTTATTTATTGAGAAAATGTTGTGAGCAGAATGAAGCATGTGAATTTCAATGAGAGATTTCTCTATTCTGCTGAACAAGCAATTTAAAGACCTGTCGTCACGGTTCAGCTTTAGCATGACTAAACTTAAGCAAGCCAAGTACGCGTTTGCATATGTGTGCGGGTATGCTGTGTAAGCGGTAGTCCGTGTAAATCAAGTATGAAAGGTGTTATACAGATACGAGCATCGAGATCGCTTGCGCAAGTTTACTCACGTAGAAGCTTGACCTTGTAGTCGGACAGTTAGTATGAAGTTGCTATGTTTGTTGGGTGAATTTATCCTAAAACAATCCGACGTTGTCTACGGATCGACGCTTTAAAGCAGACTGATATCGGTTTAAATGTCAGGGAGGCGGACAATTGCGCCACTGACTATTGTTCAAATTGGTTGCGATAGTGGCACAGTCCACTGTTCAAACTGGGTCAGAACAATCGCCCACTATTCCTTTACACCCGTCAATGCAAACGCGCTCCGATGACATTTAACATTTGACCTTTTCTTCCGAACTCCCCCAGCTTTTATATAGCCAAGTAACAGCATTACTGTCAACAAATTTACATTAAGAGTCAATGTATTATGCAACTCATAGATTAATTTATATACTTTATTTGTTTGTTTTTTTTATGGAAATGCTTTAATCCAGATTTCATGTTTTGGTTAGTATAAAACAGTTCTAGTCATTTGTTTGCTACAAACATTTTGAAAATTGGTGATCGATGAATGAATTTAATTTATGCATATTGGATTTTTTAAGAAATGTAACTGGCATATTTAAACAAATCATATATAATATTATTTGGAAAGGATGTGTTGTGATATTCATGGTGCATGATTGCGATAATGGTTTGTTGATAAAAAATGATATGTTAAATATGTTTCTGGTATGCGTTTGAAAATATTTGTATATTATGTTAGCTGAACAAACGATTGAATTTTAGCCGCTTAGCCAAGGTCACAGGGTAATTTGGTATAAAAAAAAACATTACATGATTGCACAAAGGTCATGAAATTATTGTTATTTTAAATTATACCTTTGATTGGTATCAATTATAAATTACAATTTTAAACAATTTTTAAAAATTAACTCATAAATTGATGGTAGCAAAAATTTTGTTATATAGGTAATTTCACAGTGTACGACGCCTGGTAGTGTCTTATACATTCCTATCTTCCTAAAACTAAACTACTTTCTACTATTTCGAAAAGTGCAAAATTAGTTTTAATTAAGGTCTAACAAATCAATGAATTACTTTCTCAAACTCGTATCTTATAAAGAGGGATTATTCAGGAGATGGCAAAACTTTCTATTTATTTTAAATTTCATATGGATGCATTACTCAGTGTGTGAATATGATGGAAATGTGATGTGAAATCAGTCTGCAAAATTTGTATTTACAATCAAATTTTTTGCATTGTAGTAACTTTATGCTTTAAGATACGAGTTTGAGAAAGTAAGGCGACGAAATGTGAATTCAATGGGCGTTGAGTTAGGGTCCTAACATGTATTTATATAGTTCGTGAGAATTGGCATGGTAAAAGTAACTGCACTTCTCTTAGGAAAACGTTGACAAAATGTAAAAAGCTGAATGACGTTTTCTATACGGTTTTGGTTTAACTTAGTTCATGTATGGAATACCATTGTTCGTGAAACTATACTTTATTTCTGAATGTAAATATGTAAACGTGATATCTTGAGGTCTTCCAATGTGTTGCTCTTGAGATGACTAAATAGTTTAGAAATATAAAAATATTTATGTGAGTAATGCGTGTCGAAACCTTTCTTCTCTTGAAAAAAAGAAATAACAAATTAATGGCTAGGTACCAAAGAACCTTCAAATATAGTGAAAAGAACAAGTTACATGAATTTCTGTATTGACAGTTTTTTTTTTGTAGAAATATAAAAAAATATATTATTGTTATGAAACCGTTAATTAAAGGATTTTGAAAATGAACTTGGTCTAAAAAAATCTTTTTATATTATATCTAATATTATAGACTTTTGAAGTAATCAACAGTTTAGTATTGTAATATCAAATACGGTATACGGTTGAAAGAATATACAATAAACTAGCCTTCAGGATGTCCCAAAATATAATTACCTTCTTATTTTTTTACTTACTTTATTAATATTTTTTTTCATTATAAATCAACACTTTACTACTTACTTTATAGTAACAGTATAGTAAAACTCCAGTAATTATTAAAACAATATTGTATCAAAGTAAATGTTTCAATGTTGTATGTGTACATTTAAGGTTCATCATGTAATTGTTTTTATACAAAAATTGTCATTACTATTATCTGGTAGTGGTCATTTCTTGCGAGACTTAAAACATAGACTAATAAAATTAAATGTGGATTTGCAATTATTATAAGACAATCCATTTCTTTCTTTAAAAATACCAATACATACCTTCTGAATATTTCATTAGATTACTGCTCGAGTGAGATATACATTGAAAACTTTTAAGTAGGTGTTAAAAAAGGTACTTGGTGTGAATTTTTAAACACTAATCTTCTTACTCGTGTGTTGCCTAAATGCATATTGAATTTTCTTCACAAAAGTTAAGGATCATTTTTGTATAAAAACACGAAAATGTTGTCTATGTACAGTGTTAAATATTACGTAAAGATGTATCATAGGTGGTAAGTTAAGACTTTCATCATGCAGGCTTCAGTGTGGTATACTTGCCGTATTTTAAGAAGTAGTATTATTTATGGCAAGTATAGGTTGAACCTCATAAAGCCCAGTGATTATTCTAATTGAACAGTGTTATTTCGTGAATGTTACCTTAATGATAATGGACCCTGATATAGTTTTGTAGAGGTTTTTGGGAACTCAATAAACATTTTACAATCAAATTCATGTTTTATTTTTGTTGTACAAACATTAAGCTTGTGTTAAAAATAAATAATAAATAAAAATAAAATAAATTATATTAAATAAAAAATTTATTTTATTTATTTTTAACAAACATTTTACAATCAAACTTAAGTTTTATTTTTGTTGTACAAACATTAAACTTGTGTTAAGCGGCACACATATTTACTTTAAGTAAATTCTATGTCAAAAAATAAATACCTTATACTATAATTGATAACAGTAGGTACCTACATTTTAGATACTGTTTTGATGCCTAATATATCTAAGCATTTCTCCATGACTTTAGCAGTAACTTCACACAGCATCAGCCTTTCATAGAAGATCTTTACAATCTTACCCTCTTTGTCCTTTTCTACACAGTAGCATTTATCATAGAACTCTGTGAAGCATGAGGATATCTCATACAAATATTCACAAAGGCTGTGAAGAAATAAATCACCTGCTACTTTGAGGATAACTTCCGGGAACCTTAGAAGTACCTTTCCAAGTTTCCATTCAGCTTCATGAGTAAGTTTGAAACCAGATTTCTCTAGCTCATCCAGTAAATTTTCAAAAGAGACTTGAGCTGTTCTAGCTATTGACCTAATGCGAGTCAGAGCATACAACAGGTATACGGCAGTGTTGCCTTTGTCATCCAACATTTTGTCAAATGAAAACACATAGTCATTGATTCTATTATGAGACAAGTCAGCATACTTGATGCAACCATATGCAACAGCTTCCTGTGCAAGTTTAAGTTCTTCTGGTGTAAGAACTTTATCCCGACCTTTCTCTTTTAGCTTGTCTAAGGACCTTTTCAACCCTTCATCAAGTAAATCAATAAGTTTAACTGTGTCACCAGAACGAGTTTTGAATTTCTTCTTATCTTCACCTAGAACAACACCAAAAACAACATTTTCAACTTTTTGTCCATTCTTTAATATTCCAGCTCGTCTGGCACAAGCTTCAATTGTCATAAAGTGGGTGTACTGCCCTGCATCTGTTACGTAAATAAATCTGTCCCCCTTCTCTTCCTCTACCCTCTGCTTAATTGTAGCCATGTCAGATGTATCATATGTGAATCCTCCATCAGATTTCACAATAGTAAGAGGGATTCCTTCACGTTTCTCTGCATCACCCCACATAATTAATCTGCCCTCGTCTTCTTCCAAAAACCCTTTGTCTTTTAATTCTTTGACTATAGATTCCATCCTGCTCTGGTAAAATGATTCCCCTCTGTCAATAATTTTTACCTCTAATCGATTATAAACTTTCTGGAACTCTTGTCGAGAGACTTCACATATAAGTTTCCATGCTGATATGTAGTCAGGATGTCCTGACTGGAGGTGAACAACGCTAGAATACGCTCGCTTCTTGAATTCTTCATCCTCATCAAAACGTGTCTTCGACTCTTTGTAAAAAGCTTGTAAGTCAGAAATGGGAGGAGAATGTGTCTTAAAATCAGGGTATTTATCTTGCAAATGAGCAATCAGCATTCCAAACTGAGTGCCCCAGTCCCCAAGATGGTTGATTCGGAGTACATCATGCTTCAGAAATTCTAACAAACGACAGATACTTTCCCCTATTATAGTAGACCTTAGATGTCCAACATGCATCTCTTTAGCAATATTAGGTGATGAAAAGTCTACAATAGCTTTTTCTTTCTTTACTGGGGGTGGCTTTACTCCATATCTGAGAATGCAAGTCAATACATGTTCAACAAACTGCTTATTGAGGTATATATTGAGATATCCTGCACCTGCCACTTCCATTCTTTCAATCAATGGTGATGCTGGAGTTTTATTGAGAATATTATTAGCAACTTCTCTAGGATTAGTCTTTACACCCTTACTTTTGAGCAGTTGTGATATGGCCATTGCAGAATTACACTGGTAGTCACCAAATTTGGGATTGTTTCCTGACAAAGTGATAGCGATGGGGGGTTCTTCGAGATCAGGATATGCTGAAGTGATAGCGATTTCAAAAACATTTTTAAGCTCATCCAAAATGCAAATAGTTCCCTCAATCGATTTAATATCAGTTATTAAAGTTGGACGCTTTTTTGGCTCCCTTTTGACTGTTTTTCCTGACGTACCAGAGCTCTCAGCTTTGATTGCATTTTCAAGTATTGCTAAGCGATGTTTGAGTTTTTCGTTATCTGAAACGAGTTTGTCTAGTCGAGGGTCACCGATGTAACTCAAATTGCCTGATGTCAACTTGTTAATTTCCTCTTCAATTGCCTTTGCTTCTTTTTCAGCCTTACTCGTCCGTTCTTCCAAACTTCGCTGTTGGACGTCAGACATTATAAATGTGATGTTATGTCCACCCGTAGCAAGTATTACTTCACTCAATATTGGCGAGATTTTTTAACATAAAACTAGGAATATCTATGTAAATACGGATACGTGGAGGTTATGTGCCGCACGTTCGATTTGACAGCTTACGTTTAGAAATTCTGAGGAATCTGAATTTCTTAACGTTCCAAAATATAAAGTTTGAATCGTAAATAATTTCAAATTTTGTAAAACTCTTCTTCCAAACAATTATTTAATAAATTAAATAATATTAAATTAAAAAATATTTGAAAATATGAACGGCAACATATTTCATTCAAGAATTTTTGAACTATTTACGAAAACATCAAAAACCGTGAGGTTGTCCTGGCAACCAAGGTCAAACAAACAGCGCCAAAAATATGTTTCAAAAGTGGCAAGTGTGTATGAGATTTAAATAATTAAATATTCGTTATAAAAACCGCATAATTTCTTATTTTTTTACCAAATAAATTCGTGTACTATATTGCACCTAGGATTCGTTACCATTGTTTTACAAAATGCTAATGTGGTGCAGTACCACTGTTTTTTTGCTTTATTGAACGTAGGTGTACGATTTATATTCTAATGGATGAAGGATGGCACAACAACAAAATGGGTTTGAATACGCGCACAAGGATGAGGAAGTACCATTCTGGCTCGAAGACATTACCAAGTACGTATTTCGGGTAGTCAATACAACACACAATTTGATTAATGAAAACGATGTTGTCGATAGAGGCAATTTCCAACACAATGCACTCAGTGACTTCCGCTTCAAGGTTACCCACCCTAACAAAACAGTAAAAAACATATAAAAAAGCCCAATCATTCCGTTATTCGCTCCCGATACCGCCTTTACGTTGGACTTCTTTGGTGTTGCAGGGAGATGAAACAAACTCATATTAAAAAAAGTAGCAGTGATTCATCTCCAACATTTGAAGAACCTAAGATTAACAGGTAACCTAAGTAAAGTATAAATATTGAGAAGGAACAGAATTTTTAGTATTGCTTTGTAAAAAACATTTCAATTTTATAGATTCATACGCAGGACATCATTGGATACCTCGTTGGATGTGCTGACGAAGCCACAATCTCATTCATTGGCTCACTCAGCTGGCACCATGCGGCATCATAACAAAAGTAAATTATTATCCTACAATAAACTTATTGTATATTATTTATTAGAACAAATTCAGAAAGGTCTACTTAATCGTCATGCGTGTTCCTCATCTGAGTTATTATTTAGAATTATTTCATACAGCAGTTCCTGTAAAGTATTTTTTCGTTTTCCCATTTTCTAATAAAAATCAAAAAAATTTGTTTAGGTTACCTTCAAAATGGACGTAGGAAATACAACATACGAAATAAGTTGGACTGGGGTGACACTTCGACTACAGGCTCCAACAACTCCAACGACTTCCTCTCAGACCTATTACCTCACTATGTAACACCGCGGCATCGCAAGAGTAACTTTGATGATGAAGACGACTTCCATGACGTCATTATGGGCACAAGTAAATTAGTTATTAGTGTTTTGAATTTTTAGTTCTTAATGTGTGTGAGACGTTGATGTAATGTTTTACTTACGCGACTGACGTTGTTACAGAGTCTAAGGAATTTACAAAGAATTGGAAACAACAACGTTCGAAAGAAAGTATCCAAAGTCAAAATAATAACATAAACAGAAAATCCTCATTAATACAAGCAAACCCAACAAAGAAGGGGTCCTTGAATTCTATTACGAGCAAGACGCACAACGATAAATCGAAAAATGAGTTTGTGATTCCGGAATTACCGGAAGGCAGGTTATTGGAGATCAAGATTTATACCAATTGGGGTGACAAGTACCTAGTAGGTCTGAACGGTGTGGAATTATTTGATTCGAATGGGTCACCAGTTGCCATAGAAAAAGTAAGATGATATCCAATAGACCTGGTATGAAAAATTACTCTTTGCAAATATAATAATTTCGAGTCTTTGTAGGTATGGACAGATGCAGACACCGGCGATCAGTCAAAGCACAGTCGTGCTGATAACATTGGCGATGGCGTCGTGCGAACTCGAGATGAAAGACACGCTTGGACTGCCCCCACACCTCGAGGCGGAATTCCATTGGCTATTAGTATTTTACTAACTAGATGTAGCAACCTTGCTTTGCTTAGGGTTTGGGTAAGCTGATACAAAAAATGAAGCAAACATGAGATTTCTAAATAAATGGATAATCTAATATATTTATACATTGACCTACCAATAAATGGACATCGGTCCAATACAAAAACCTCGAAAAAAATGTCCGAAGTTAACCTATACAAACGTAGTGAGTGACATGTAATATAAAAAACTAAAACATTTAATTTAAATTGTAACGTCAATAATAACGTAACAATTTAAGGGCCCAAAAACACCATATTCAGCTTCTAATGGAAACTTAACAAAATACACCAAATTTAGCTTCGACTGAAAAATACTTGAACATAACAGTAATGGAATAGCCTTTCTCGTAAATATTAATTAATTTTTATATATATTATTATGTCGAATTTTGTATAAATTCACTTAAGGATTATAATAAAGAGTTGGGCAGATACATACATACAAATATTACTACAAATGTAAAAATAAGCGTGTACTATAAGAAATGTACCGATATTCCAACTAAATGTAAACTGAAATATCCGTTATTCTGAAAACTGATTTGTAATAAAACCGTTACGCTTTCGAGTAATTTTGATGATTTTCACAAACACAAAATTATTAGCTTTTGTTTTGTAATCTTCCTAAAAAAATACACTTGACGTTATGAAAATTCGTAATGTTATTTCGGGCAAATGTATTTTCTGTCTTCTAATAGGTAATCCCAGCCGTAAAACGAGTACAACAATATTTTGTTAGTTAATGCTAACGTTTACTAAAAAAAAATCACTTTAAAAATATGATTAAAATCAAAGCGACTCTATAGTTTTTTGTTCTAAATATTTCAATCGCTTGTGGTTCGAACAATTGAAAATGACCAAGAAGTTTATATAAGCTTCTTGAAACTGACGTAATGGGTCTTTTTCCATCTTTTGCGCATGCAATGTGTAGAAAAAGGACAATTAGCTATTTGATTATTTTGTGTGCTTTTGTCATTGACTTACAATTATATGGACGTCGGGTCCGCGCTAAAAAGTGTCCGCACTTGTAAGGCGCTAAAATCGTATACAGAGCGCGATATTCCGCTTTAGTCTTCATTTGTTCTACTGACAGCGCGATACTGCGATGACATTACAATTTAAATTTCGAATAGGTTGACTTGGGACATTTTTTTCGTGGTTTTTGTATTAGACCCGTCGTCCATTTATTTGTAAGTCAATGGCTTTTGTCATTTATATTTACGATTCATTTATATATAAATTAAATACTATAAAACTGTACAAAATAACACTTTTAAATGATAACTATGATAATACAATATATTCGTTTAGTGAAAATATGATACAAAATCCTGTTTTTACACTTTACTGCAGTAATTTTTACAAGTTATTATTTTTGTTACTGCATGATTGACAACCGCGCTGTCAGTCGAACAAACGAAGACTGTTGACGCTCTGTATGCGATTTTAACGCCCTACAGGTGCGGACATTTTTTAGCGCGGACCCGACGTCCATTTATTGGTAGGTCAATGTATTTATAACAACTTTTTGAATTTTGTTTGAAACATTATTTACAGAATTACAATAAATCCCGTATATATTCATCGCGAGGAGTCCGTTTAGTTCAAATCAAACTGGACGATCAGGTTATTTTTCACGGGGAAATCGCAAGAGCGAGTGGTGAACTCAACGGGCCTCTAACATCATTTGGGGATGTAAGTTCTCCGTCCAAGTCAGTATTACGGTTTCTATAATGAGGATTTTGACTGTTGTGTTGACTTTTCAGACAATACTCTTCACAAAAGACCCAAATATTCTGGAACTGATATTAGCGAGTGACACGAATTTTCAAGCTTTGCTAAAGGATAACCAACCAAACGAATCCATAATTGAGAAACGGCCCCTAACTGCAAACGATAGCAATCACAATATCAGTCCAATCGGGCTGCTGGAAGGTGACAATGAAGAGAAAGAAACCAAGTACATCGCGAAGGTTGTAAAGATCACAGCAATGTCCAATTGGGGTCAGAGACATTTGATTGGACTAACAGGTAAAGTTACTTATTTATTCACGTTATGTGCTCCATTTGCTCATACTATAAGCACAGTAAAATCGATGGTTGATTCTTAAAAACACAAACATAACCTGTATTCTTTTTGTTACGAATTTTTTCGTGCAATGTGGATAACGGTTTCTAAAATATCGTACGAACCCTGCGTAGTAACCCTTGAATGATGATAGTAGGGCTACAGTATTACAACATCTTCTAATTCCCAGACTTGCTTTTCGAGACAGGTCGAGCTAACTCTACAAATTCCACAATATTTTCAGAAGTACCCGCGTGTAATCGGATTGCCAATAAAGAATTTCGTATGAAAATGGAATTCAGAAATAATTCACATTACAAGATTTATGAAATGTAATGTAACCTTAGAATTCGAACCTCATTTAAATAGACAAAATGTTGAAAAGCCGACTTGACAAATGCAACAAAACAAAATCAATTCAATTTCAAACATAGATATATCTGTATCTCGGTATGCTATGAGTGTGATATGCACAGGCTATTGCGATACCACAGATAATACAATACTATTACTGTCGTGGATAATTTTATTAAATTAACTATTGGGCCAGTGCAGTGTCAGTTTCGATGTATGCAGTCAGGTAATATCGAGCAAGAACGCCAGTCCAATGAAAAAAAAACACTACTTCACACGACTTAGGTGATAATATTGGGACATGTCCATTTACCATAGTTCCTTTATTTTATTCCATCCTCTAAACCAGCTTTTCCCAAAGTGGGCGATAACGCAACTTTGTGGGCGCTGCAGGCCTAAAGGTGGATTCACAATACACAAATTTTGGCAATATATTGCCACAATTTAACGCGTTGCGCGATATGACGTTCAAATTAACTAATCAGGAGCTATAGACCCAGAAAAAAATGGGGGCGCTGTGTAGAGGCTTAGGGGGAGTTTGTAATTTCATCTAGGAAGACTCTTAGACACCGACTGAGCTCTCGACTCTCGACTACAACTTGTGAACATCAATTAATATTAAAGAGATTGCTCAAACTAACTCGGCTCGATATTTCTCTCCGTGTAGTTCATATATCTGTCCTATTTTATTGAATAAATAAAATAAAAATCATGTCAATCGGCAGCTCCGTTTCGATGAAAGTAGACACAAACAAACAAATAAAAAGGCAACAGACAGTTTCGCATTTTAATAGTTATTAGTGTTCCTAGATAGGTAATTTTCGCAGATAAAAGACCGCGGGCAATCATGTTTTAACAAGTTTTTGTTAAATAATCCGATTCGTTCATTCCTGTATTAATCAGCTGGTTCATGAATACTTATTCTTACTAGTTGAGTACGATTGAGCGTCGAATGAGATAAACGAGTTTATGTATGTTTGTCTTATTCCTGTCGGTGCGTGCTGCTTATGCAATCTTATGTTTAAACAACGTAATATTTATTTTATTTTCATTTGCGGTTAAGGCTTAAGTTCAACACTTACGTATTTCTCAAAACAAAACAATGTCGGAAGTAAAAAAGAAAGGACGGCAATACTGTGCGGAATACATAAATTCGGATTCATTGAAAAACCGATCCCGCAATTGTAACCTGGATTGTGGTCAATCGTTCAACGATTCTTGATAGCATTCCCATCGTCATATTTGTGTGAACGTGGTTGTAGTGCTGTGACAACGCTGCTTACTATAAAGAGAAATCGTTTGCATGTTACCGAACGTGGTGACTTGCGACTGTTCTTGATTAAATTGGAACCTGATCAAACTTATTAAACAGCATCAGATTCAGCCTTTACATTCGTTTTTATATTAGAATCGGTTATGTTTGTTTTATTTTGAGTAAAAGATACTCTGTCTGAATACCATAAAGTTGCGTTTCAATAATCATTCTCATTGGCAGATGTAGGTGAAAAAGTGGGGGCGCTAAAAAATAATTTATTCTCAAGGTGGGCAGTAGACAAAATAAACTTGGTACCCCTGCTCTAAGCCATTTACTGACCTTGAATTCTTTTTTTATATTTTAATATTGCAACCCTGGTTGTTATGTCAACGTGAACGAAACATTTTTTGTGTCTGTTGTCAGTCATTTATTTGATAGGCTGTATGGTAGAGCTATTACAACCTTTGCCTGCCCAAATGAAAAATACAATAAAAAAAACAATAATTTTGCGACACGCGGGATCATAGGACGGATTGTTTTTAAATATGTTTAATGTAACTCGCAGATGTACAAAACAATGCTGAGCTTACAATAAACATCCAGTGTTCGTGTACATAATAGTCTCGATCTTTATCACTAAACATCATGGAAATGGATATCTGTTTCGACTCTGACAGTGACGACGAGCGAGGTTTGCGTGAATTAGAAGAGTTAAACGCTAAGATTGAAGCTGAAAAGAATCAAGCTCAGTATACTAGTTCTGATCCTGTTGCACACTGTTCAATGTCCACCCCCCGCACAAAGGAAATGGAAATTAGCTTTAACTCCGTCAACAGCGACATTTTACAACAATTGAACATACACCCAACGGCATACTTCACCTCGTCTGCCCCAAACACAAGCGAAATGGATGTTAGTTATGACTCCGATAGTGATGACGACAGCGATTTGCGTAAATTAGAAGAGTTAAACGCCAAAATTGAAGCCGAAAGGAAACATACTGAGTGTTTAAGTGTAAATCCCATTGCACACAGTTCCGCTTCTGCCCCAGGCACAAGTATGAAGCAAGAATTCGCTAATATAAATGAAGCAATTGCGTGTAATAAACTCGTTACAGAAAAATTAAATCGCCTTGAAACACAACTCATGGAAAAGCTCCGTGAATGCCGTCAAAGGCTACAGGAATTAAAAAATCCACCACCATTAGCCGAAAAACATGATAAAGGGTTTCGATATGTCAACTGTGGAAAGCCTCACTTCAGAGACAAGGACAACTTCCCAGCCCCAGATAATGAAGATACTATTCTGATGCGTGCATCTGGCATGTATGACTACTCAAGTATTACAACTGTACCTGGCTGGACTGTGAAAGATAAAAGCAACTTTTTCCAAGAGATATTAAAGATGTCGAGGAATCTTAGGAAAAATGAACTCAACTCCCGAATTGCTCAGTTGCAGAGAGAATACAAAGGCAAAAAGAAAAGTACAAGTTACCAAAAAGAAATGGCTTTTTTAACCAAAGAGATTGAAAGAGTAAATAAGAAGCCTATGAAAGATGTAGCATTGCCAATTGATCAGGATTATGACTGGGATGCTGTAGCCAACACACTCAACCGGAGGCACAGTGCTCAAGAATACAGAGCTTTCTGGAAATTATTTTTGCATCCATCTATCAATAAATCTTGTTGGACAACCCCAGAGCATGTGGCGCTGCAAAGAATTGCACATGCCCATAATTTTCAAGATTGGGATACAATTGCAGCAGAACTAAACACTGGCAGAAGTGGTTATCAATGTTTTGTGTACTTTCGTTCCAATGTGAGCAACTCCATAACTGGTCAGAAGTGGTCCAAGGATGAGGAATTGTATCTGCAAAGATTAATTCATTTCTATAGAGAAAATGATTATATTCCATGGGGGAAAATAGCAGCATCCATGGAGGGCAGAACCAAAGTTCAAGTTTACAATAAATATTTGAGACTCTCTGAGTCAAGGAAAGGCAGATTTTTGCCGGAAGAAGATGCTGTGATTTTAACATGCACTAAAAAACTTGGTTCAAACTTTAGAGCAATGACAAAATACTTGCCAGGTCGGTCAGCCACACAGATTAGAACGAGATACCAAGTCTTGGAAAGTAAAAAGAACAATACATCTGTTGTATGGACTGTGGAAGAAGATAAAAAGCTTATTCAAATAATGGCTAACCAGGATTCTTCAACAAATTATTCCAGTATAATGGAACACTTTCCTGGTAAAGATAGAGTGCACATACGAGCCAGATATGTCACTTTGGTAAAATGGATGAGGAAACATCCTAACAGAGATATTTCTCAGGCACCTAGAAGAGGAGCACGACGTCTCGGTCATGGTCGTGCTGAAAACAACATAAATGAAGCCCTTCAAAACCTGAAAAGTAGGATTCAGACTGAAGTAGAAAAAACAAAATCTAAGAGAGTATGCAAAAATTCATCAGAAAGTGACATTGAAGCAGGTATAATAGCATTTCTTATAAATGAAAAGAATAGTGAAGATGAGCAAAGGAGAGCAGATTTGTGTGATGGTGAAAAATTAGCACTAAATGAGAATTCTGATATTCCATCCACATCACCTAATTCAGTTGACATGTATAAGCTATTGGTTTTGCTGAAAGCAAAGCTAAATAAGAGTAAGTTCCAAAAGAGCAGTCTTTCTGAGCAATATCCTGATTTGTTGCTAGATCAACAAGATTGTCTAGTTAAAGTAAAGTCATATTCCAAAAAGGCCACTATTAAAACAGTAGTGCTTGATGATAAACCTGATATTTGGGGTGAGAGGCCTTTAAAAAAAATCACTCATGTATTCCCACCAAATTATGCAACAATAACAGGATGTAGAAAGTTAATGGCTTTAGCGCTGTTGAAACCTGAGAAGCGTGCATTGCACTTCAACATACTGGCTCGTAGAAATGTTTTATTCAAAGAACAAATGGAGCTATTGATTGAGAGGTTTAACACACTTTTTGTTTGGCCTTTGCTGCTATCAAATCAATCTCTGGACGAAGTTAAGCGCGGTATTCCTACAGCATCAAACCCATGTACCTGTGAGCCAAAATTAAGTAATTACAGAGTTAACTTTGCTAATGGCTTTGCCATTCCAAAACCAATATTCATTCCTAAGAGAGACAGAGTAACTGATGCAGATAAAAATATAGACCTGGACAAAAATGTTGAAGAAAAGGATATTAACATCAAGGACTTGTATGTTGGTAGTGATGACTTTATGTTTATGGATTAAGTATAAACTGTATGGCATATACATATGTCACCACATTTGTAAATTCAACAATATGTTACTCTCATTTGTTATTTCCATGCATTTAGTTAAGATCTGACTACATTTAGTTAATTTTAAACCAAGCTCTCACTACAGTGCCGCACACATTTCCAATTATGTAAGTCTCATGGAAATGTGTATTCTAGAGTGGCCTAAAGTTAAATAATATTAACTTGTTACATTATAGTTTTGGAGAAGTGTACGAATGGTCGCACTTCTGAGTAAATAATTTATAAACTATATCGCTAAGCAACGTAATTACATACTTTGTAACTTATGTATAAGACATTAGCTATAAAATAAACGGATCTCAATGTGATAGTTTTGTTTTTCTCTTTACCTTTAGAAATACGTAAAATAAAATATCGTTACACTGAACTGTTATTTTATACATAAAATTCGCATTTAGTTCAACTAGCTTTTGATCTCTATAATGATTATCGGGTTTTTATTTGTTGCCTAGGCATTGAAATCCTCTGCTACAATAAACCAGTGAAAATTCACCGTGCATACGCGTATCTGTCGTTTATATCGGACGAAGAGTCTTCACCGCACGAACAGGGGCCTCTGATTGAGTGTAAGAATCTATTCAATGGACGAAATATCTCCACAGAGTTTAAGGACATGTGGTGTACTAACTTTTCACCAGAACAATTCTGCCACATTGTCATGGAGTTGATAGAACCTAATGAGATTACAAGTAGGTATAGTATTTATTGGATATATTTCAATTTATTGGTTGTCATTATGAAATACGTTACCAACTATCAGTGTCATTGTATTTTCGCGCCAGTTGATAAAAAAAAAATATTCAGGCATTCGCATCTGGAACTACAACGCCAATATGGAGCTATCGTACATAGGCGTTAAACACATCCGCATTTATTTGGACGGTGTAGCATTGCACTACCGCCCTGTGCTGCTCCGCCGAGCTCCTGGAGACACTTGCTACGACTACGTTCATCAGATTGACATTGCTTCTATCGACGACCGGTATGTAGCGAATTTCTTAAAAACTCGATTTTTACTATCCCTATAAGGAACTTTGAAACAATTTAGAATTTAGCAGCAGTAGCGCTCCTCGTGAAACAGTTCGTCCAGGGAAGTACCTTGCCTATTTCTGCGGCCAAGCAGTAATGTTAGCATTACTGGGTTCCGTTTTAGAAGGGTAAGGGTGCTGGTGAAATTACAGGCACACGAGACTTGTCAACTTATGCCTCAGGGTGACGGGCGCAGTGGCAGTGCTCCTCCATCTTTGCGATTTAAAGCTCGTGAGTGGCATTGCAACTGTTGTGGACAGGCGTGTAGTTTACTATCAGGCGCACGATTTGTTCGTCCCGTCACATGATATTATAAAAAAAAACCCGGGAGCAGAAAATGTTTGTTTAAAAACCCAGTACCTAACATTTGGGAGCCTGTCAATATTAGTCAAGGTTGTTAATTTAGTACAGATGGTATTCGATGTGATGTTTTGTGCCACTAATAGGTTGGAAGACGCGAATGATTCAGATAGCTTCCGTATGGACTGCCTGGTGTACGGGACAAGTGTGGACATGGGCGCACCCACTGGCTTCGTGCTGCAGATCAGCATTTTCTCCACGTGGGGTGACCCGTACTACGTGGGCTTAACTGGAGTTGAGCTCTACGACCCGCATGGGAATATGATACAGCTTACTGAAACGAGTGAGTTTTTAATATTAATTTAACAAATTATATCCCATCTGCTACGCCCAGCACAAAACTCCTCCGAAATCGCAGGAGAGACGATTTTGGTATATAAAGATTTGAACGACGTCGATCAATAATCCAAGTTGTTAAATGGCACGAACAGCAGCATGAAATACTATAAACAAAAACTTTTGGCGTCGGAGACCAAGATCGTCACTGAGTAAACGAAGTAAACATACCCCATTCCGGGAGATAGTAGCTGTAGGCACAGGCGCAACGTTCATGCAGGTAAAAAGTTTTGGAACATCTCCTTTGTTTGTTGTTAACAGAGGGCTTTATATTACAGTTAGCACTTACCGTGTTTTTGACAACGCCAAATATGTTTAAAAACGGATTTTTCTTTTAATACAGCTTGTACAGGGTTAAGAGCACGTGAAACTTGACACTTAAGATTTAAATTCAACAAAAGCGGGCCAAAAATATCAAGGTTGATGTGCTATTGACTGTCCCTGGCCTAACACGACAGTTCTACCGTAGTAGCTGAACTGTGTTGTTGTGATAAGTTCAATAAAGCATAGCATTAGGCCCCTCTACAGTCGCTCTATCGCGCGTGCTCAGGAGCGTACAAGATAACACGGGAAAGCCTGCTGCTGTTGGAAGTTTTTTAAGCTAATGTTCTTTCGCGCGCCATTCCATGCATCAGTGTAAGTAAAGGCTAATCGCGCAGGATAGACAGCGTGAAACTGGCTCGTGTTGAAGTGTGTGCATCATCATGTTCGCTGATGTTAGTCTATTCAAAAAGAATTCTTTAGTTTTTTTAGTCTTTACTTCAGTCTTTTTTCGTTACTTTAGTTATTTCCCTCGCCTTGCTTGACAAAAGCACTATAAATATATACCTCGGCGGCAACGAGGATTGCCTAACTCGTATATCGTAGTAAGTCATATTCGTCCGACAATCCTTTCCTATCCCGACCTGTGAAGACAACCTCAGAACGCACAATTCCGCGCGCAACTGATGAGCGCGGTCTTTCCCTTTTCCTTCCAACATCTTTACAGGCGGGCTTAATCGCGCACGATTGCTGTATCGCGCACGATTGCTGTATCACGGGCGATAGAGTCTGAGTAAAGCTATTGTTGCAGACGTGTGTGCGCACCCGGCTAGCGTGAACGTGCTGGAGCCTCTTGCGCAGGACGTGCGTACGCCCGACAAGCTCATCGACGGCGTCAATGCACGCGTTGGTGACGGCGCACACTCCTGGCTCACGCCCGTGTTGCCTGACACTCTCAACAGGTATAGTTTAACATGGACGTCTCTTGGCCACGACTATGGGATAGGATAGCTATATTGAGATACGAAATTTTGCTTCGTGGAGACATTTTAAAAGTACATAATTCTGCGTTGAAGGAGTTTTTTCGCGAGTTAAACGCTTGTCTTTTGAACCGACACTTATACTTTACCTATTTACAAACTTTCAACAAAACAGCAAAAGAGCCTTTTTAGTAATCGGACTAATAATTATATTAATACTTCTTGTTGCACACTACAACAAACACGGACATAAATAAAACACAAAAACACGATATAAATGAAGGCCTCTTATCGTATTCCAGAACTCTACTCATTGCTCAAGTCAGG